AAAAAAAAAAAATCCCTACTCTGTGGGCTTTATAATCTGGTCTTGTTACTTTTCGGCTTAATTTCCAGTAGCACCCAGCAGTAGTTTTTTCACATTTTAAAATCTATGCACTCTTTCTTTCCTCAGAAAAGCGCTCGCACCTGGACTCACATACCCACCCACTTTGGCAGGCCATTTGAAGGGTCTACTGGACCCCTGTGCATCTCCCGTTTAGAATTATGACCTCTCACAGCCTGCTTGTGTATAGTCTCATACCTTGCTTCTTCCTGACTCGTCTTACATGTTTTCCTTTGCCTAAAATTCTTTCCTTTCCATCAGCCCTAGTTCATTCCTACTTACACTCACTTCCGTTCTCAAAAAAAATTATTTCCTCAAAGAAATTTTCTCTACTCCTGTGATATTTTGATACATATTTTGGATTTTGTCTGTAGCTCCTGTCTCTTAATTCCCTCTCCAAGGTGGGTTATTAAAAATCCAACCTTTCTGCCTTTTCTCTGGCCTACTTTGTCTGATGGTAGGTGATAAAACCATCATTTTAGAAAGGGTTCTATCCTATACCCAAAAGGAAGTAGTGCTGCAAAGAGGAACCAAAAACAACCTGCACAGGCCTTGCTGGATTTTCCCAGTCTATCAGCATTGGATATGCAATGCAGTCTCCATGAAAACCCAAAAGGAAGCCAGGCATGGTGGCGCACACCTGTAATCCCAGCACTCGGGAGGCTGAGGCAGGAGGATCCCTGTGAGTTCAAGACCAGCCTGGGCTACCTAGTGAGTTCCAGGTCAGTCTCAACTACATAGTGAGACCCTGTCTCAAAAAACCAAAACCAAAACCAAAACAATAAAACCCAAAAGGAGCCAGGCGTGGTAGCACAAACCTGTAATCCCAAAAACTCTGGGAGGCTGAAGTAGAACAATTACAACTTTGAGCCCAGTCAGGGCAATTTAGTGACTGTTAAGGCCTTGATCAAGAATGTCCCCTGAAGGCCTCATGTACTCATAGGAAGGGCCTTTGGATGATGATCGAATAATGGGGAAATACAGCTGACTTGCTGTTAGGAGTGGGGTCTGGTTGGAAGAGGCAGGTCACCAGGGGCGTGACCTGGAAGGATATATACCACTCCCTTGTTTACTCTCTCTCTCTCTCTCTCTCTCTGCTTCCTGACCGTCTCTGAGAGCAGCTTTTCTC